CTGGCCCTGGCACCCTGAGGCTTTAAGCTGACTTCTAGTCAGCTGGGACCCGGGTGCCTTGGCCCCTCCCCTTCCCCTCCCAGTCTCAAATCCACATTATCCTCCCAGACCATTGCTTTTACCCTTCCGTGTCCAGTCAGCATTTGCCATTTCAGGTTCTATGACCTTAAAGTTTAATAATAATATAATAAAAGTTTACATGTATTGTGTGCTTAATATGATCCATAGATCAGTTTATTCAATCCTCACCACCACCCCGTGAGCTGGGTGGAATTATCAGCCCCATTAGCCACAGATGAAGATACGGAGACTCGGAAACACAGCGTATAAATTGCAGAGCGGGTACCTGACTTGCGGAATGTTTGAACTTGGAGGCCAGGCTGATCCTACGTCAGGGCGCTGCCTTTCCACGGAGGCGGAATCCGCGGGAGTGGGAGTGTTGAAGAGCCAGGACGGTAGCAAAGCTGCTGGGGGACGATGCCTTGGGCTGATTCTCACATCGCCCTGGAGGGGGAGCTCTCGACCTCCCGCTTCCCTCTGGACCTTGACCCGGCATCACCAGAGCCCAGGGGTCAGGGTCGCTCTGAAGCTTAGAACCGAGGTATCGTGCTTTCTAAAACACCCTTTCTTAAAAGACAGACTTTTAAACAATGTTTCAGCGACCATACTCTTTATCCCAACAGCCCCGCTTCTGGAATCTCACTTGCACGTCTGGGAACAGACACGTTTACCAAGGCACACGCTGTGTGTCACGGCAAAACTCCGGAGGCCACCCCGGTGTCCATCGCTGGGGGACGGTTCAATAAATTGTGCAATATGTATATGGCGAAATGCTCTGCAGCCATGAAAAAATAAAAAGGAAGCTCTCTCTGCCGGACAGGAATGGCACTGTAGGACGCGGATCTCGGCAACATGTTGCTAAATAAAAAAAGAACAGCTTCTCTGTTACACTGCCACTTGTGTCAAATACGGGCAGGGGGCAGCATGAATACAAGTGTTTCCTTACAGATACATGGGGCCCTCTGGACGGATGTATAAGGAACCAGTGCTCTTGGTGGCTTTCGGAAAGGGACCCAGGTGTCTGGGAGACAGAAGGGACTTTTCGCTCTATTCTATTTATGTACCTTGTCAATGTGGGCACCTCTGCTAAAGCAAATGTAATTATATGAATAGACACACACACATAAATAACCATAAGGTAATGTTGCGATACATCAATAAAGTCACTGGACGTGGCAAATTCAAGACCTTGAATTTGATTTTTGTTTCTGACACCTTGGACTTGGTGTTTTGAATCCGAATTTTCTCAATGGTAAGGAGTGGGGGTGGGGATAGTGACAGCTACTCCTGGGGGTATTGAGAGGATTAAGAGGCGAAATGTATTTGATTCTTCATTCTCCAAATATGTGTGGAGCCCTTGCTCTGGGCCGGGCCCTGGGCTCGATACCACATGGTCGCAAGCAGGTCCGGCAGCTGTGCTCCCCGGTCGTGCATCCCAGGATTCCAGTCGAGCGGGGAAGACAGACGTGAAGTCAGCACACAGCTATGCGGTCGCCTGTTGTCATAAATGCGGCGGCAGGACAGAGCCGGCTGTGAGGGAGAGACTGGAGGGGTTGCAGGAGGCCTTGCTGAGGTAGGGGCACCTGCACTCAGGCCTGCTGGCGTGCGCTGGGCCTAGTCCGAGGGAGGAGCGTTGCAGGGGAGACGTGGAGAGTTCAGAACAAAAGATAACCAGACTGGCTGCGGGAAGAGCTGGAGGCCGAGGAGAGATGAGAACATCCTTAGCCTCCAGGGACCATGGGAGGGACCTAGGGGAGCCTTCCAGGTGCAGAGGAAGCCACAGGTGGACCCATCCGAGGCAATGTAGCACAGCAGATAAGAGGGCAGGCTCAGACAGCCCTTCAAATCTCCTACTCCCTGGCTAGGCGCCCTGGGGCAGCCCGATGCCTCCGGAACAGGAGGCAAATAGTGCCTCTGGACCCTCGTATGAGGCTCAGTGCGCCCCAGGGAGGACTCTCAGCGCAGGGCCTGGTGCTTGCATGGCTGCAGCGCGTTCCCGAAAACTCGTCCTAGAACAAGGGTGAGCGAAGGGACCAAATCCAGCCTGCCCCCAATGTCTGTGCTGTCCACAAGCTAGGCATAATTTTAACATTTTTAAATTGGTTAAAAAAAAAAAACAAAGGAAGAAGCATATGAGAGGGGAACCCCCCCAAAAAAAAACAGAATTACCTTCTGGAGGGTGGGCCCTTGTAGAAAAGGCTCCCCACCCCCACAGGTGAGTGTTCCAGCAACCCCTCTGTATCGTTGTAGCAGCTGCCATTGTTGTCAGAGGCTGTATTTGGCTTCAGTGGATTTTTTTTTTTGAAGACTCTTGCAACGCATCTGCCCATTTCAAGACGGGTGATTTCCAAGCTCACCTGCCCACACCCCTGCTGAGTGTTCAGCAGTTTTTGACCCAAAATGGCATGACCCCCATGCCCCTCCCTCCCTATTCTCTTGATCATGACCCGAGCAACTTTTTTTGTTGTTTCCCTGGTTGAAAAAAGTCGTCAAAAGGAAACATTTTGCCGATGTGGAAGAGGTGAAACAAACAACAGCAGAAGCACTAACAGGCATCAAAATCGATGAGTTCAGAAACTGTTTCAAGCAGTGGGAAGAACGTCTTGAGGGGTGTATTGCATCAAACAGAAAGTACTTTGAAGCTGTCTGAAGTTTAAATGTGTAAGAAAAAATACACAATTTTTTATAAATAAATTCCGTGTTTGGGGGCTTCCCCTGCATATTTCATGACACACGAAAACTGCATCCAATTTAATTTCCAGCACCCATAAATAAAGTTTTATCAAGACAGCCATTCCCATTCATTTATGTATGGTCTATGACTGCTTCTGTGCTGCAACAGTGTAAGTCAGCAGGTGAAACAGAGACCTATGGCGTGCAAAGCCAAAGATATTTCCTATCTGGCCCTTTACAGAAAAGTTTTGCAACAGAAAAGGGACTTGGGGCTCCCAAAGATACAAGAAGGAAGACCAGTGAGAAGGCTTTTGTGGACTCAGGGTAAAACATAACAACAGTGAGGCCCTGGCTGGGTGGCTCAGTTGGTCAGAGCATCCTGCCAAGACCCCAAGGCTGCAGGTTTGATTCCCGGTCAGGGCACATACAAGATTCAACCAATGAATGCACAAAAAGGTGGCACAAATGGGTGGAACAACAATTGGTGTTTCTCTCTCTCTCTCCCTCCCTCCCCCCATCCTCCCTTTCTCTCTCTCTCTCTAAAAATCAGTACATTTTAAAAAGAGACAGGTAACAGTGGAAAGGATGAGAAGGAGAGAGCTGGGAGAGATTCTGTAGCAGTGCTTTTGACAGCTAGGAAGAGCTTACCAACATTGGGCATTTCCAGTATTTTCTACATTGAACACGGTTGTGACTACTTCCGTCCCTCAAAGGTGAGAGGCTCACGTGGTTTGGACATCAGCTCTAACGTTCTGTCATTTTGGAACGCTTTATGGTAACAGCAGAGGGTGATTTTAGACTCCAGGTGACAAACCAGCTAATGGTGTCTCTGTAATGCTGGCATTCTCTGAGCTAGCCGAGTGCTGGGTGTATAAATAGAAGCCAGCAGTCACTGGGAAGTATTCCTGGGGCTGAGGTCATCCTCCCCTAACGCTGTCGTGGCAGGCCCCAGGCGAGTTTCGGGTATACACCTGTGCCCTACAACTAGGTCAAGTCTGGAGAACGTGATGGCATGGAGAGGGGAGCCAGAGAGTTGGCTGGAGAATAACACTCGTGAACAGAGTAAAGCAACCAGGATTACCCAGTCACGGCAGGTAACCTGCCTTAGGCTTGCACGATGCCCTAGGTAGGTATTGCTGGGAGCTCTTTATATGAATTGCTTCACTCAATCTTCACAATCAAAATTGCATGGTAGCTACTATCTCTATTTTATAGGTGAGAACAAAGAGGCACGGACACTGCCCACAGCAGCCCAACTTGGAGGTGGAGGGAGGTGGTGGACTCAGGGTCCCGTTCCGGAAGATCTGGGTCTAGAACTCCTGAACTCAGCCACCACGCTTCACTCTCCATCTAGTCCTCAGTGAAGACCTGGGTCATTTAGAACAACACGTAGGTCCCTCTGGTAATTTCCCTTCACAACTCTCAGAAATTAAAATATTCGGTCTACAAGGCAGCATTTACCATGTAATGATCAATCCATCATTTGATCGTGCAATTCCCCCCCCCCCACACACACACACAATGCAGTCTCATCAAGGCCGACTTAGGGCTCCCAATGTTCTTTTTACAGCCTGCAGGTAACTCTCGCAGCACCCAGATCCACCCCTGTGGGCTGTAGACGGGTGCCTGCAGCCAAGACACACGGCTCAGACCCTGTCCAGCTCTCTCGGACGCATCCACCTAAAGCCCCACCGAGCGGCATGGGCCTGACTACCGGCATCCCGAACCACAAGTCAGACATAATGTCAACAACAACAGTAAGTGTAGCTACCGTTTATTCAGTGCCATCTATGTGCTTTCCATTTAACCCTCTCAGCAACCTGTGGTTGAAGTGCCTTGGTGGGTACTGTCTTCCTTCTCTTTCTCAAAGGAAAGAGAGGGCCGTAGAGTTGAAGCTCTTGCCACAGATCCTCAGAGAGAAAGCGTCCGTCCGAGTCGGCATTCACACTCAGGACTGCCTGGCTCCGGAGCCCTGCTGCTAACTTCTTGGCCACATTGACGCCTTTGAGGAATCAATTAGCAACATCCTAGAAACAACTCAGCTCAGTAGATATGTATTGATTACCTACTATATGCCCAGTATGAAGACTTACAGATGGAATAAGACAGAAATGCTCCCTGCCTCGTAGAACTTAGAGTTCAAAGAGGACAACTACAGAGTTCATTCATTCAACAAATATTTGCCGAGAGTCTGTATGCCAGAGCCAGGCACACTTCCAAGGACGCAGCAGTGACCAGGGAAGACAGAGATGCCCCTCGTAATATTAGGACCTTCCTTTTTATTTTTATTTTGTGAAAATTATATATAATATTTTTGAAATCAACTAGGAAGGTATCACAAAGGAACATTACATTTTAAAACAACAGAGCAAAACATAAAAAGATATTTTATAACAACTTTGCCTCAATCCTTAATTGTTATTATTTGCAACTTAAACTAACCGTGATTTTATTTCCAGACCTGAGTAGATGCTTACTTTTTAAAATTTGTTTCAATTACAGTGGACATACAATATTATATTAGCTTCAGGGGCACAACAGAGTGATTAGACATTTATATACTTCACAAAGGGATCGCTCCGGTGAGTCTAGTATACACCTGGCACCATCCAGAGTTATAATTGTGCATTTTAGACAGGGAGTGGATGAGTTCGATGAAGGAACCAGAGTCCTACACTCGGTCCCAGCTGGGATGTGCCTTCCCAGCCCTCCAGGGAGCCATCCGCTGTCAGTGGGAAGTCCGGCCCCCCGAGGGGACAGTCACCTCCCCAGGCACTGCCCAGAGTCAGGTACCAGGAGGGAGTCCAAGAGGGGCTGGCTGGTTTACAACGCCATCCATCGTGAGTGTCACGGAGTTCGCAGAAGTATCCGAAGGAGATGAGTTTCCACTCACTTGCACTTAACGAGGAGCTATGCAGGCAGGCAGCATTCTGTCGCAGGGGACGGGGAGCAGACAGGGTGTTCACGGGGAGGCTATGATGTTAAATGCTCCAAAACGTGTAGGAATAAGGGAGGGTTGTTGGTTGTTTTTTTTTTTTTTAAATTAAGTGCCCTAGACCTGGAGGGAGAAAGGAAGGGCATGGTTAGAAAATTTCAAATGAACCAACCACGGGTGTGCTGTCCACAGTCTGAGGAGGGGGCGATACCACCACATTGCAGAGCTTGGGGCGTCTGTACTCGGAACGTCTTTGTGACGGGCACATGGCCAGGAGGACACGTTTTGTTAGATTCTCCGTTAGGGCATAGGTAGCGAGCACCTTGAATTTATGAGCCCAAGTGACCGTCCCCTTCAGACGAAGGTTGAGACTTCCGAGGACACCTGGTTGTGGGTGCACCTGGCCAGCACGGCCACCCTCCTGCTGAGGGGCACGCGTCCCACAGCAACATGAAGTTTCCTGTGAGTCGATCACGGAGAAGCAAACTAAAAAGCAGGAGCTCCTGCCATAGGAAACTCAAGCCGGTGCTCTATGAATGGTCGAAGCTGGAAACCCTGATGTGCTCCAGGCCCATTGCTCCTGCATTTGCAATGGAGAAGCGGAGGCCCAGAGAGCTGACATGCACTGCCCAAGGGCACACAGCAGGATGCTTCTCCTGGCCCTTTCCTCGGTGCCGTCATCATGGCGACCGCACTCGAAGCTTCACACTGTCATGACAGGACTGGGGTTCGAGCCCGGCAGCAAGCTGTGTCCACGAGGGCAGATGGAGACGTCTCCTTGGTTTCTCTAAAAGGGAAATGAGTTACGACCCTTTAAAGATTCCGAGTACATTAAAGGCAGGTCTTCCAGCCAGGATGTCCCCCGGCACCTAGTTCCTTCCTAAGGATGGCCGGCCCAGAGTCCTGTATAAGGGCAATAGAAGGATAATCACTGTCCTCCAGGAGGGAAGTCCTCACGATAAACCTCTGGAAATGTCTTTAAAATTCCACCATTTAAGACTTCCGCTTTGGAGAAGACGGAGTAGACACACTGTTCTCTGTTTCTTCTGCTAGGTGCAACAAAAATCTCTGCACAACTTAAGTAAAACAGACATAGAAAGGCTCTGAAAGATGGTGAGAAGAAGGCAGCCCGGTGCAGGAACTCAGGATCGGAGGAACGAGGTAGCAGGGATTCCCCTGGGTTTTCTGTTGCTTCCTATGCACAAGACTTTGGAGCTGAAGAAACTGGCAACCTGCAAACAGCAACAGGTATGGATAAAAACAAAAAAGCTCCAACAAAATGCTACCAAAGCCTGCTCTCTCTCCCCAGAGGATGAGGAAAGGAGCAGCCCACTAGCAAGATACCAAAGGTTTAGACCATAACTATCTACTCCAGCCAAACAGTGGTGGGAGGTGGGAGGAACCTGTGGTCCAGCCCCACCATGCCAGCAAAGGCCTAAAGGTGAGAAGCCCAGACTTCCACCTTGGTGAAGCTGTGATGAGTCCCTCAGTACGCCCACCAGGGTGCTGTCAGAGAAGACCAAGGAAGGAGCCAGGACCCTCGCCACCACTGGTCTCAGTGGAGGCCATGTGGGAGCCTGGATGTCCACTTTTACTGGACAATAAGGCGCCTCCTTTCCCTGGAGGGTGGCATCAGAGGAAGCCTAGTGGAGACTCAAGGCTTTCGACACAGTACATTGGTCGCAAGGTCATCCCCTTCATGGTGTCACGGGGAATGCGTGGGGAGTTGGGATGCCTATCTCTACCCAGCAGTAAAGAGGAGCCCCCTATCTTGGATACCAACGAAGGCTGAGTGGGGAACCTGGACTTCTTCCCCCATCCAGCAGCGAGGGACAAGGTAGAGTCCCTCTCCTTCCCCATCTCAGAGAAAACCAGCTAAAACAGAAGATGTACATAAGATCCAGGGTCTCATGACATGAAAAATGTCCATGTTTCCATCAGAAATGACTCATCATACTGAAAACTAGGAAGATCTCGAACTGAATGAAAAAAAAAGACAATCAATAATTAAATCAATTACATTAGAATTATCCAGCACAAATTTTAATGCAGTCAGGATAAAAATATTTCAATAAGCAGATATGAACATGCTTCAAACAAATGAATAAATAGAAAGCCTCACCAAAGAAATAGAAGACAGAAAGGATAAATAAATGGTCATTTGAGACCTGAAAAATACAATATCTAAAATAAAAGTCTCAGTGGATGGACTCAACAGCATAATGGGGGAGGCGGTGGAAAAAAGCAGCGAATTCAAGCACAGAATGATAGAAATCATCTAATCTGAACAACAGAAGAAATAGACACCCGCCCAAAGAAAAACAGGGCCTAAGAAAACTACTGTGGGACCATGATAAAGATCGAACATGTGTGTCATTGGGGGCCCTGAAGGAGAAGAGAAAGATGACAAGGATGAAAGCTTACCAGAGAAAGAATGACCATCTCAAATTTTGCAGCAAATATAAAATGTAGATTCAAGAAGCTGAGTGAACCCCAAACAGGGTAATTGTGCATGTACCAAACAACAGAGCTACAAAATCTTTAAAGCAAAAACTAACAGAGTGGAAGGGATAACTAGACAAATACACACAGTTGAAGATTCCAATAGCTTTCTCTCAACAAATGATTAAAAAAAACTGGATAAAAAAATCAGCAAGGATATAAAACTCAACAACACCATCAGTCAACAAGATCAAATAAATATTTATAGAGCATTTCACCCAATAACAACAGAATACACATTCGTTCCAAGTGTCCATAAAACATATACTCTGACCATATCCAGGGCGTGAAACAAACTTCGACAAAGTTAAAGGAATGGAACTTACATGCAGTGTATTCTCTAACCGTAGTTGAATCCCACTAGAAATCGGTTACAGCAAAATCTCAAAACCTGTGAAAACTAAACACTAAAATTACATACTGAATTTCATTCAAGTTAAAAATTTCACTCTGTGAAAGACTATGTCAAAAGTATGAAAAAGTACGCTACACAGTGGGAGAAAATACAGGGTCCAGCACAAATTACGCCCCATTCTTATTACAAAATCTTTTATTACAAAATCATAAGCATGTAATTCTGTAACATGATAATATCACACTCAAGCGCACCCTATCACATTTTAGGTGAGATGTTCAAATTAAAACTACAGATTATTGCACCCATGTTATTAGCCTACCAACCACACTCAAGCAGGCGTTACTCCTGCCAGACCCTGTATTTGCAAACCGTGTATCCAACAAAGGACTGCCATCTAGAATACAGACAGACCTCTCAAAACTCAACAGTATAAAAGCAAACAATCCAATTGGAAAACGGGCAAGAGACATGACAAGACAGTTCACTGAGGAGGCGCTACAGATGGCCAATAAGCACATCAAAAGATGTTGAACATCATTAGCCATCAGGGACATGCAAATGAAAGCCACGAGGAGACACACTACACGCGCATCATGCTAAAATAAAAAATATTTATACACCCAATGCCTAGGAGGACGCAGAAAAACTGGATCACTCATAACATTGCTGGGGGAAATGTAGTATTACACAGCCACTCAAGAAAACAGTTTGGCAGTTTCTTAACAAAACTAAAAAGGCACTGATCATATGACCCAGTGAGCACACTCCTGGGCATCCATCCCAGTTACAGGAAAGTCTTAGGTTCACACCTAGACCTGTACACCAACATTTATGCCATCTTTACTCACAACAGCCAGAAACTGGGCAAGACCCAGATGTCCTTCACCAGGGAAATGATCGAACAAACCAGCACATCCACATCGAGGGACACCACTCGGGAACAAAAACAAACTGTTGATAGAAGCAGCCACCTGCATGAGTCTCCAGAGAATGTTTCTGAGTGGAGAACACCAAGCCTAAAAGGTCATGTAGTATGGGATTCTGGTTATATAAGATTCTTGAAATGCAAAACCGTAGGAACTGAGAACAGATGAATGGCTGATGGGGGTTAGGAAGGGGTGGGAGGGGGGGAGGAGAACAGAGTCAGGATATAAAGGGGAAAGCTGGGAGAACTTCTGCTTGAGAATCTACAATGATCTCAGAATAAGAATCTTCATTTTATAAAGTAACTACATCATTAAAAAAACGCACTTCAGCTTCATAGAACTAAAAACAAACTTGTTTAATTTAACCTGGTGAAATCCTAATGAGGCCTTGTACTAACTAACTAACATTGTACCAACGTGAACTTCCTCATTTAAAAAAAAAATGTTCTAGGGTTATGTAAGCTATTCTCCCTGGAGGAAGGTGGGGGGAAGGGTACACGAGATCTTTTTATATTATTTTTGCAACTTCGGGGGAATCTTAAAGTAATTCAAAATACGTTATAATTTTAAAAAACAACGCGATATTCTAACTTTCCACCTTCAATCAATCTTGAAAGACCACAGACAAATCTGGGTCCTGGTGTCTGTACGTCCACACGACCACTGCGTAGCCACACACACCACCCTGGAAAGTCTCATTCTGCAAAGAGCGTGTTGGTTATAAATCAGAAATCCCAACTCAGGTGTGAAAGACTGACAACTTCCTTCCATTTCTGTGATGCAGCTCCGTCTGTACTGTGAGCTCCCATTCAGCCCATGCGGTAGAAATAATCTCAGGCAATTGGTCTCCCATCCCTTGCTCCTCTTCCTGGAGGGCTGGCCCAAGTTTTGGGAGATGGGCATAGAGCCTGATATCCATGTAGGAGGGAGAGAAAGGGAGAAGCACCCTCTTATCTTCAGGGTCATCTGTCCACGCTGCCCTCTTCTGAGGACCCATGATCCCATCATCTCTCAGTCACGGGTTCACAGCAGCTGCTGCTCAGACACCCTTTGGCCCCACCTGCAAGACCTCTCGCATCCCGCGAGGCATGCCCATACCATCTGTGTTCATTTCCCGTGGCTGCTGTAACACAGCACCACGACTTAATACAAAATGTATTATCTCACGTCTGTAGGGCAGAAGTCTGCAAGGGAGCTCAGAGAGCTCAAACCAAGGTGTTAGCAGGGCTGCGTTCCGTGTGGAGGCTCCGGGGCAGAATCCACCTTCTTGACTTTCCCTCCTTCTAGCGGCTGCCTGTGTTCCTTGGCTTGTGGCCACATCGCTCAGCCCTCTTGCTGGCTTCCATTGTCATACCTCCTTCTCTGACTCTGACCCTTTGCGTCCCTTTTATAAAGACCCTGGTGACTGCATTAGCTCCCCTCAGATATTCCAGATAATCTCCGCATCTCAAGATCCTCGTTCACATCACAAAATCTCTTTGCCATGTTAGTTACACTTTCTGAGGATTAGGATGTGGACAGCTTTGCAGGGGGCAACTTTTCTGCCTACAATACCACGCTTGGCACTCAGGACAGTCCCACGCTCACTCACTGAACCGGTTACTATTGCCGTGTCCGCTTGCCACACCAGGTACAAATCTCATGAAAGCTCGTGTCTCGTTGGAGTCTCCAAGGGGGCACCACCCAGCCCTCAAAAAGACAGTTCCCATTTTCTCCACCTGGGCTGAGAGCAATAAGGCAAATAAAAAGTACCTATGGAGCTAATAATGGTAGAAGTCAGCCTGAAGGAGGGGTCGTAGGTCTGTGTTATGGACTGAACACGTCCCCCCAAACTCACGTGTTAAACCCCTAACCCCCGATGTGATAATATTTGGTGATAGGACCTTTCAGAAGTAATTGGGTTTAGATGTAGGCATCAGGGTAGGTCCCTCAGGACTCGATGAGTGCCCTTGTAGAGAAAGAGGATGAGATGATGGCTCCCCAAACCATGTGTACACAAAGAAGAGGTCAGGTGCGCACACAGTGTCTGTGAGCCAAAGGGAGAGTTTTTAGACTATATCCTACCTTGCTAGCACCTTGATTTTGGATCTCTAAGCCTCTAGCACTGTAAGAAATAAATGTCTGTTGTTTAAGACATCCAGTCTGCGGTATTTTGTTATGACAGCCAGAGCAGGCCACGGCAGTCTGAGCCTGGAACTAGGCTGACACGCTCAAGTGAAGGCAGTGCTACTTGGGGCGCCAAGGCCAGAACAAAGGGCAGTTGGAATCTTAGAAGAAGTGCCCCCAAGGGGGAGAATGCAGTTGAGCCAAACATCTCCAGAGGCAGACAGAGGCAGAAGCGTCTTTCCAGAAAACACCTTTTCATGGAAACTATGAAAGGCATTCCCCTCAATTATCATTTATAACTACCGAATTATGCATGTTTCCATTCTTTCATCCATTCCTTCAGCAAACATTGACTCACCATCTATATTTTGTCAGCCTGCTACAGCTGTGGAAGAAATTACCATAAACTGAGCATCATAACACAACACAAAGTCCTTACCGCACCGTCTGTAGACTGGAAGTCTGGGCATGGTGCGACTGGGTTTTCTGCCCAGGGCCTCACTGGGCGAAATCAAGCTGTCAGCCGGGAGTGCTGTCCTGGTCTGGGTGGCAGGGTATTCCTCCAAGCTCCGTGGTTAGTGGCAGAATTCAGTTCCTTATGGTTGTACAACAGTGGTCCCCGCTGTCTTGTCAACTGCCCACCGGGGACTGCTCTCAGCTTCTAGAGCCGGCTCTCAGGTCCCGGCCACATGAAACCTCCATCTCAGCAACAGAGAACCTCCTTTGCATACAATCTTTCTCAGCTTCTTTTTTTTAAAGATTATTTATTTATTTATTTATTTATTTTTAGAGAGGTAAAGGAGGGAGGGAGAGAGAGAGAGAGAGAGAGAGAGAGAGAGAGAGAGAGAGAGAAACATCAATGTGCGGTTGCTGGGGGCTGTGGCCTGCAACCCAGGCATGTGCCCTGACTGGGAATCGAACCTGCAACACTTTGGTTCGCAGCCTGCGCTCAATCCACTGAGCTACGCCAGCCAGGGCAAAATCTTTCTCACTTTCTAAATGTCTCTGACTCCTTTTTCAACCATCCAAAGAAATTTTCCTGCTTATCAAGGGCCTATACAATTAGATCAGGCATATCTAGATAATCTTCATGATCTCCAGATGTTAAGATCCACTGATTTGAGACTTTACATGGGCAAAATACTTTTACAGCAGTACCTCAGACAGTGTTTGAATAGCCAGGTGCTGGAATCTTGGGGGCCACCTTAGAATTCTACCCACCCCACATTTATATTAGGGGAGGAAGGAGGACACAGAGATGAAGAGCAAGATACCCATCAACAAAGGCCTTCCAGTCAAGTGGGTGCGAGACATGTAAGGGAGTGACTGGATTGCAGGGCACTAACTGCTCATTCAGGGATCGAGCAATATTCTGTAGGGCTTCAGAGGAGGCGGGATTAACTCTCCTGGAAAGAGCGGAGGGAGGCTCCCCAAAGGAAAGGACATTTGATCCGAGTCTTGAAGCACAGAGGAGGGAGGGATGTACAGGGTACATCGTTTACAAACATGGGAAGGACCACAGCGAATTGAGGGACTGACAGGTAACGCAGGGCTACTGGAATATAGAGGACAAGGTCAGAAGAGGCTGGAGGAGTTGGTTGGAACCTGTTTGTGCAAAACGACCCGTGCACCCTAAAGAAACGGGAAGTGACGAAAGATTGGAAACAGGGAAATGACAGAGCACAATCTGTGTGTGTGTTTACTTATTATCTAGATCGGACATGAGCTCCGTGTCCCAGGCCCTAGAACAATGTGTGGGAAAAAGTAGACAATTGTTTTAATTTAATGTAGACACACTTACATGTACAGCAGAACATTCACAGTGATTTTTTTTTGGGGGGGGAGTAAAACTGAGTGCTTTCTACCTAACTTATATATTTATTTTTGCTTATGTATTCCCTCAATAGATATATATATATATATTTTAAAAATTTTATTTACTTTTATTTTTAGAGAGGAAAGGGAGGGAGAAAGAGAGAGAGGGAGAGAAACATCAATGTCCTGTTGCTGGGGGTCATGGCCTGCAACCCAGGCATGTACCCTGACTGGGAATCCAACTTGCGACACTTTGGTTCGCAGCCCGTGCTCAATCCACTGAGCTACACCAGCCAGGACAATATATTTTACGTATATAAATTTTTAGAATTGTCAACATGAGTATGTATCATTTTCACATAATAAGTGATAATAGTAGGTGGCATTTACTGAGCACTCCCAGTGGGTCAAGAACAAAGCTCAGGGCTTTACATGAATCAACTCAACATCCCTGGGAGACAGGTATTACATTACCCCCATTAGTATTCAGAGATCAGGACAGTCGAGTTTGGAGAAGTGAAGTGAGTGCAAGAGCTGGAACTCAAACTCCAGTGCCTCTCTGCTATAGCTTCCGAATGACTGACTGGATTAATGTATACGTCATGGCGCATACGAGGTCTGTCTGGAAAAAGCCCAGTCATTGTTAATACGACAAGAACAGTTTGCATGACGTTGCTGTAACCTGGCAGCCAAGGAGAGTGGACTGGAATGCGCATGTGTGAACAATGACAACTTCACTGCACTAGTCAGTGGGGGGTGGTAGAAGCTGTTGAGTGAGCATGTGTACTGTGTGGCTGTCACATTCAAAATGCCTGAGTGAGCACAGCAATGAATCTGCATCAGATTTTGTGTTAAGCCCGAACATTCCTCCCTGGAAACTATTCAGATGATCCAGAAGGCCACAGCCATGGGAAACTGCTGATTGGCAGCTTTATTACAACAACGCACCCACTCACACATCATGTCTCCTGCAGAGTTTTTTGGCGAAACATCAAATCTCTCAGGTGACTCAGCCCCTTTACAGCCCAGATTTGGTGCCCTGCGACTTCTGGCTTTTCCCAAAACTAAAATCACCCTCGAAAGAGAAGAGATTTCAGACTGTTGCTGAGATTTAGGAAAATACACTGGGGCAGCTGATGGTGACTGGGAAACCTGTGTGAGGTCCCAGGGTGCCTAATATGAAGGGGACTGAGGTGTCATTGTCCTGTGTACAATGTTTCTTGTATCTTGTATCTTCTTCAATAAGTGTTTCCATTTTTCATATTACATGGCTGGATACCTTCTGGATAGACCTCGTATATATGCGTTCATTATAAAGAATAAGGAGGCACATTCTCACATGGCACAGTAGAGGCTCACAAAATCTTCTGAAGGGAGCCAACAGACATTATCATCCCTGCTTTAAAGACGGATTCGTGGGTCCATATGACCATGTCTTGCCATCTGTCTCCTATCACACCTTTGTAACAGGAGCATGCTGTCCCTTTCCCACAATATGTGGCTGGACAGACCCTTCTCAGGCCTTCCGTGCAATGATTGAAGGCACTCTCTGTTTCTCTCCGACAGGCTTGAGTCTTTGTCATTGATAAGCAAATCTGCAGGGGAATTCATCTAAGCCAGATGTTGGGAGACTCGGGTTGGAGTGCTGGCACTGCCACGCACTGAGGGCCTCAGTTTCCCCATCTGTAAAATGAGCTACTTGGAGTAACAGGTGCCTAAGGACCAACGCAATGCTCTTGCTTCTCATGCTGGGAATGCAGGCAAGGCTGACTGCCTGCATATTTCCTCACCAACCACAAAGTCCTTGTTCCTTAAATACAAAATCCTTGACCCCGGGAAATGCGGCCCTAAGCTAAAATCGTTCTAGGGAAACAGAAGATATATATACACTTGAACAGCATTACCGCCCTCTTCCTGGAAGAGCCCTAACAAGAAAGGCACTTCATTCATTCACTCATTCTCATTCATTCAGCAATCACTTAGTGTGCACCTGTGACACACCAGGCAGGTTTCAGCATGGGCACAGAGCAGTAAACCACACAAAGTGCCTGCCCGCAGGAACCTTGTATAACAGTGGGGAGACAAGCAAATACATTAAGATATGTTTACAGTTTACGATTATAAAAAAGACTTGTTGGATGATCATTCTCCAGGGTTCTGTAAAAAGGAGGATCAGTGTTTGAGAGTGACATGTTTCGTCCCCTTTTGGTATAATAGCAAGTGGTGAAAAATGGGCATAAAAATAGCACTGGCCTTGACGTTACAAGACTTGGGATCCGAATGTAGCCTGTGAAACTGGAGTCCTTACTAGAACCTTTACAAGCTTCACACACCTCCTCTGTGCAATGGGAATGATAGTACCCATTTTGTTCACCTTTCGGGGACGGTGCAAGGGTCAGACAAGAGCAGGAAATCAAATAGGTAATAAACTCTGAGCCTTCCCCATTCTGTAAATGTTCAGTTCTGCACTCCAAGTCACTTCTAGCTGCTGCTAAGTCAAGCTCCTGCTATAAACTTAAAAGCATCAAGTCCTAGCTCTGACCCTCCCAATGCCAAGGGACTTCATCTCAAGGCGTGAGACATTTGTATCAGACCACAGGGCGGGGAGGTGCAGACCTGGAAGGAAACAGCATGTCTAGCGTGTTTCCTTCTAACCCTCCCACTCGCAGGTATTTGGTACAGACATCTGAGTGTGCCCAAAGGTCACACTGTCTCACCTTGTTATTGGTAGTGTCTAGTCCATGCCACGGTTTGCAAATCGATATTTAATAGTTGTCACTGCTCTTGAGTCTTATGATGGGAAAATTAAATAACTAAACATGTGGGAGGATATATACCAAAATTATCACCAGTAGCTGGTTGGACTGCTGGTAACTGGTTTCCTTTTCTTGATTGTTTCTCTGTCTTTTGTGGTTTCTCTTCTCTCTTTTTTTTTTCATTCATTTAAAAAGTACTTAGCTAGGATGCACATGCCAGTATCGGACAGGTGGAAGGGGGAACCCTGCAATTTGAATGTCACTCCCAAATTGGTGCTGTGCCCGCCACCACTGCTTTCAGTTTACAGCCGCTACACGAGGGGCTCCTCCATGGTGATGCTGCTTCTGCTTTTGTTTTCATTTCTTCTGCTCCTGCCATTTCTAACTTTTCAAGACTTCCCAGCTAGGCCCCATTCTCACCAAATTATAAAGAGAAGCTGCTCTCTCCTCCCTAGGCCTCTATAAAGCACCGTAACAGACTCTTGGCCTTTGCTGGTTCTGAAGTCACCAAACAAAGATTTGAAACCAGGTTCTACTAGTTTTGGGCTGAGTGACTTCAGAGAAGTTTCTTCATATCAGTGAACTGCAGTCATCTGTAAAATGGGTAGAAACAGTGCCCAGAGGGTAGGCAGTTTAAGGATTTCACCAGGTAGCACATCTGAGGAGCTGGCACTGTGCCCGGTACCTGGTAGAGCCTCGAAACATGATCACTGTTAATGAAAGTAGTCTCAGGAAGCACCTGAGGCCATTCCAGGCCAGAGCTCAGGTTGTCAGCAAAAGATGGAATTCACAATCACTAAGAACTCCGACCCTGGGCTCCAGTGGACTGGGTTTCCTCCACTTGCCTTGAGCACGTGACTGTATTTCTCTGAGCCTTGGTTCCCTTGCCTGCAGAATGGGTCTAATAATATAGCAGATATAAAGAGTGGTCTTTCAAAATGTGACCTGGCACCCTGGAAAGCCCCAAGACTCTTCCAGAGAGTTCTTAATGTCAAAAACAGAAACAAAACTATTTTCATCAGGGTGCTACAATGTTACCGGCTTTTCCACTCTCATCCTCTCGCTAGGCCACATGGCGTGTAACGGTGGTGCCACCACTCTAACGGCGAATGGAACGTGTGTTTGTAAATTCCTGTTTCAGTTTTTCTCCAATTTAATATCTAATATGGTTAATTGGTATATATTTATATTTCTTATATACGTATATCTACATATTTCTCTCACATAAACAAAAGCTATTTAGGGTCCTCGATGACATTAGAGTTTAAAGGAGACCTGAGACCAAAAAAAAAAAAAAACCCATAAACACCCTTTAAGAATCACTGACTCATAGGGCTGTTGAAAAGATTAAGTAGCAACCAGCATATGCATAGAAAGCTCTCCATAAACATTACTCTTATGATTGATTCCAAAGCTCTTGAATCATATCAGATAAGGGCCTGCCTACTCCACCTACACAAGAAGCAAACTGGAATCACGGCACTTCCCATAAAAGTCACCCTCGTTTTACACCCTGCTGCTTGTTTATGTGGTGAAAGTTCAGTCCATATAAACTTTGACCAATTTAATGACACCGCTGCCCATCAGAAACCCCGACAACGTCCATGAGATCCAGATACCCGGAAGACATGGGAAGTCTGGAGAAAATCCAGAGGGGTTAGCCTGCTTCGCTGCACCCAGACCCTTCCCACCCTATGAGTCTCTTATCCAGCCAGCAGCATGCGCTCATGGGGTGGGGTGAAAGAACCTTGGCTTACAGGACACCCTCCTAAGTGACTGACCACAAAAGGGGATGCGGCCTCAAAATGGGAATCGCTTCCTAGAGGGATCAGCGTTTCCATGGACATAAACTGAGAACTACACTTATTTCAAAAGGACCAGGAAAGTGGTGCAATGAGCTGGATCGAAAGTAAGGGTAAGAGTGAGACCTGGAACACTACAAGAGTGAGCAAAATTAAAAAAAAAAAATTAAAGATGAGGGCAATCTTTTTTTTTCTTTTACTCTCCTGGCATGCCCTTGAAGGAAGGGGGAGGAGGAAGCCAGCATCGCTCAATTCTGATGTTGATGGCAAGTAGATGAGGCTCGTAAACAAACGGTATCAAATAAGTTTGAGAAAGATGTGAAGCGAAGCGATCTGGAATACAGTCATGGAGGAAGTGCTCACCAGGATCCTTTAAACCTGAGCATTCGCCTCAGGTATGCTAGCGCCACGCAAGAGACCCCCCTCCCACTCCAGGTCTTTGCTTTATGCGTTGTGGCGGGCGGAGGGGGTGGGGGACAGATTCTGCATCGGCAACAACTGAACAAGCAGGTGCAGGCCAATAAGATAGTTTTGCATATGAGCCAATTGTATTTTGATTGTAAAAAATCTCTTGGGGACCCAAGGGGTTATGTTCGAGAAAGTGGGGCCCTAGGGGAGATCCTAGAGGGAAAAAACAAAAACAAAACCCTTTTAGCTACTTTCTTCTTTCATCCTAAGAAACGGACAAAAAAAAAAAAAAAGGCCAAAAAGTAACCCAGCGCGCTGGTCACGCAGTCAGCTCCCAACGCCAGCTGTCCCCACCCCAGTCGCGGTCCTCGCCTCCCACCACTCCGCCACACACAGCCACCTGTTGCTGCCCTCGCGCCCAGAGCTGAGTCGCAAACCGCCGCTAGAGTTCGTTCTAATTCCCCGGAGCGGAGGCTGGCCAAGAAGCTCCGACGCTCCGCGCCGGCTCCTCCTCAGGGCGGGCAAGCAGAGACGCCGCAATGACTCCGGGTTCCAGGTTTCTTTTGTTTTCTCTCTGCGCTCCGAGTGTCACAAGCAGACCCCGGCCAGTCTCCCCTCGCCCTAGGCTTGGGTACTGCAAGCTCGCTTTCAGCTCACGCCCGGGAGGTGCCGAAGCATCGAGATGCCCACGGAGGGAAAACCGGTCCATCCGGGCAGCGCCGACAGGTTGCCCCGCAAGATTCAACCCGAAGCGTCCCCGGGATCCCGAATCCCTTAGAGGTCCTTAACCCAGCACTGTGGCAGGAGCGCCGCGCCCAAAATGCAAATGCAAGTTCCCGAGGCCGCGGGCGATGGGCAGCTTGATCCCAGCCCGCCAGTGCTCTAAAATGCCCGAGAGGAGCCAGGGGGCGGCGATGGTAAGAGACGTTCTCCCGCCGGGAAAGCCCGAGGAGTCCTAAGGCTGAAAGGGAACCGCCTCGTTTCCGAGGGACTTCACCGCCAGCGCCGCAGGGGTGTGCATTTCTCAGAGTCAGAATCCCAGCAAGCGCCAGCCCTCTATAAGAGTTGAAGTCAGCACCCGGGGCGCCTGTTTGTTTATTGGCTCTTACGGAAAAAAAGTTTGAGAATCTTTTACCAACCGACCTAGCGCAAGAGGAAATCTCGGAATCTCCCCAGCAAAAGTCACCTAATTTTAAATCGTTATATAACTGGGAGCTTTTTTTTTTCCTTAGCCTCCTTACCCCAAGCCCTCTCACTGCTATTCCAGGAGGAAAATGTTTCTCGCTTTAAAAACATTTTTTTTAGTGGTTGGTATGATTTCCCTGAGCCCAAAGACTAGAGCAGGCGCAGGCGGTGCCCTCCGCGCTCCGCGGCCCCACCCGCGCGCCGGCCCTAGCGCTGCGGAAGAGGCGCGGGGTCCCGGGATCTGCGAGTGCCGCAGCGCAGGGCGAGCGGCCGCGCCCCGTGGTCCCTCGGTCCGCCACTCCACGTGGTCAGGATCAACAGTTTGTCGAGCTCATCAGTGACACCTTGAACTTTTCATAAAGAAAATGGGTATTGCACCGAGAGGGTTCGGCCGCTGCGCCAGGTCCTGCTTAATATTCAATGATCTCGCTCGCACCTCCCCCTCCTCCCCTCGCAGAAATTCCATCGACTCCGTTACTGGGCTCGGACTTTTAAGTTAATTTACTGCCCCCCGCCCCCCACCTTGGCTAGGAACCAGCGCCTTTAGGTCTAGCGTCCCCCAGACCCCAGCTTCCGCCTGAAAATGACATTTCGCCGGCGTCTCGGGAGGGGGCTGAATTTCACTTTGTAACTTTCTGCGGAACCCGAGCCCGGGTGGCAGCTCGGGTGGTGGTATCGTATGCAAATACGCATGCTGACGTTACAGATCATGTGGGTTTTGGCGTAGATTCCCCACTGATCGAGACATTTTTTTCCCCTTTTTTTTTTGCCTTCTTTTTTTTTCTTTCTTTTTAAAATTTTGACCACTGTTCTCCGTACGAGGGCTTTTTCTGTCTGTCTGTCCGGCGGGCTGGCTTTCCCCCTCTTTCCCACGGAGCCCGCGCCGGGCGCCCGGTGGAGAGTGGGGAGTGGGTGGGGGCAGCCAGCAGAGTTCCATTTTGGAACGCCCGTGCCGCGTCTCCGCGTTCCCAGCCCGGGTCCCCGCGTTCCCAACCCCGGCGCAGGTAAGAAACTTCGCCTCGGCGCCCTGCAGCCCCCGCCCCGCGCCGCCAGCCCCGAGCCCCGCACGCCCGGCGTCGGCCACTCCAGCCCAACTTTCCCACCGCCACCGTCGCCGCCGCGGCTCCCGAAAATGTGTTGTTAATGGGACTTGGCCGCGTTTGTGATCGGAAGGGGGGTGCGGAAAGGGGGGGTGCCGGCTCTTTTTGCGGGTGGGAGGAAATAAGAAGATCCGGGGTGGGGGAGAGATTTTTTTAAAGAGTTTTGATTACAAGTTTGGATAAATGGGAGCCAGCCCGAGAGGAGGAGGAGGAGGAAAAACATGTCTACGTTTCCCTATGTCGACATAAGCCACAAAAAAATATGGCGTCCGCTTTCGACAGGGCGTTACGTAGACCCGACTCTGTTTTTATTTATTTATTTCGTGGCCGGCTCCCTCCCTTCTTGGCCCAGCCGCGGCGCTTTGTGCAAACGGGGCAGGTCCCGCGGGGACTCCAGCGGGACGTGGCCCCGTCTCGGCGGGTTTGGGCAGGCGGGGGGCTGCGTGTGTTGCTCCCCTCCCTCCCCCCGCTCTCCCCTCTTCTCCCCTCGCCTGGTGACGATTCGCCGTAATGTGGTGGCAGGAAGCATGACGCCGTGGGTTGAGGCTGCCTCTCCTCTCTCGTCTCTCCTGGTGGCTGCAAGCTGCGGGCGCGCGGCGCGGGCGGGCGCCGGAGCTACCTGCCGCGGGCAGGGCCAGAGCGCGGCGCTGTCCCCACGCCCCGCTCAGGTGCTGGGGCACCCGCGTGGGTAGAGGCTGTGGGAGACCGCGGGGTTCCCAGCCTGACTGTCCGCCGCAGGCTGACCCACGCCCGCAGCTCGCCTCTGCCAGCCCCAGCCCACGTTCGTCCCTGGAACGGCAGCTGGCGCTCTGCGTCTGCCCCACGAGAGGTTAATCTTTGTTGGTGTGGCAGCTTCTTTGTGGCTTCCCCAGGACTTGATAGACTCGCCTTTGCAAACTTGCCCTTTCCCCAGCCGCTGTGCAGGAGGCTGCGGAGACGGAGATGAGCGGAAAGTTGGAAACCAGCGAGCATCATAGAACGGTTTCCTTGGCCTCGTAGTTGTGCAGTGCTTGGAGGCAAAGGAGGAGCGAGGAGGGTGGTTTGTTAGTCTGGGGAGAAAAGTTGGGGGAAGCCAAGTTGTGATTTGCTCAGGCTTCCACCTGATGGATGGGCTGCCAAGCCAGTGGGGGTCTCTGCCTTCAGCTGTTTCACGCTGGCCTTTTGTTTGTCCGGAGGTGTGGAGGAGTGAGGGAGGGAAATCGTGACTTTCTCTGGACCCCTCCCATTTGAAAGAGTCGCTGCTGAGTTTGGGCCCCAGGACAACTAAGTCTTTTCAGGCCTGAGAGTTCTTCCCCCACCTCCCCTCTGATCCCCTTCTCTACCCAAGTTAGCGTCTCCCAGGTCTGAGTCAGGCCCTGTTGGGCAGGATTAGGGGGGCAACAATCCCTCTCCTTCACCCCTTGGTTCACTCAGACCGCCTACAATTACCCTCTGAACACACACACACAGATAGACACACACCTACACTCTCACTGCTTTATAGAGAGCAGACGTTAATGCCTGTTGAAGCGACGGGGGCGCGGTCCTGAGAGCTCTTCAAGGTTTCAAACGGTGACTTTCTATCTGCGAGGGCTCTGAGTTTAAACAGTTCAGTCCCAGGGCAGTAATGTCAAAAAGCATTTGGATGACAACCAAGTGGAATAAATAGCTTGTAAAATGGCATGTTTTATAGTGAAAATAAATTAATGGAGCTGTCAAGTGCGTGAACGCGTCTAACATAAAAGCTTGATTTAAGTTTAAAGGGAAAGTTATATAGCGCTGTAGACACATCTTCTTTTAAGGCCAAAAGGGGCAAATTCTACAAGCAAGATTGAAATGTGTCACTGACAAGAACTAGACCCGTGAGCTGTGGGAATATCGTGGCTGTTTAAAAGCTCTGCTCCTGGATTGTTCTCTTGTGCACGGTACCTTATGGCCAAGTTCGACGTCAACTAAGGATCCACGTGAAGTTAACAGCTAGCTCTTAAGGGGAAAATTCGGCAGCTGAGGTTTTAAGGTAAATCACACACAGTGAGTTTTCCCTTGACCTTGTCAGCAGTTCGGAAACTGTGAACTTTAATTGAAACGACTCATAAGGAAACCAATTTGACCCTAGGCTAATTGACATAAGCAAGAGTTAAGTGCCGACAGCCTATTTCTAATCACAAAAACCTCACCAGATTTCTAAATGAAGACCCCCAAACACTTCTAGCATTAAACAGTGAAGTAAGTGGGAGCTTTACATTTCTTTAGGAAAGACTAATAAAAAATAAGTAAGATCATTGTTTTTCAACTCAATTATTCCAGTTCAGAGTCACGGGGGGGGCCATAGCCTGTCCCGGCAGCTCAGGGCACAAGGCACGAAGCCATCCCTTTGTCCCAGGGTCCCCCCCACCCCCTCAGACTGGCACGATGTGGACACACCAATTCAGTTCACGTGCTCGTCTTTGGGGTATGGGAGAAACCCAAACAGACATGCGGAGAGCATGCAGACTCCATACAGACTGTGGCCCGGGCTGGGAGTCGATTTTTCTTTTTCCCTCACCAATGTTATAATGAAATGACATCATTCAAGCACCTGCTGTATGTTAAATAGCCCCCATGTAAAGGAGAAGACTAAAATGATGTAGCTGTTTGGTGGCACTCAAGAAAGGTATGCTCCCTGACACGAATGCAGTCTATCTTGACAGGCCCCATAGGGCTGAAAGGTGACTCTACCCCAGGTGTCTCATTCACGTCAGGGCCACGTGATTCGGTGGGATGCCGCACCTTTGATAAGAAAAACTATGACAGTGCTTGATGGCAGTTGCCAGCACTTACGAGTTCAGCACGCCAGGCACAGCGCTATGTATTTTGCACGCTTGGTCATTTCCATTCTCACCATAACCCTGAGAGATTAGTACCATTGTCCTCACTTTACCGCTGGAGAAATGGAGGCTCAAAGAGGTGAAGAAAGTTGCCCAACGCTGCACAGCACAAAGCGAAGTCAGTGCTCGAAGCCTGGCCTCGCTTTTTAGCCTTAAACCCTCCATTACAGCAGCTCCCTGGATATGGGAAGACCTAGCCGGAATGAAAAGGAGAGGGTTAGGCACAGGCAGGAGAGAGAGGGCAGTGACCTCTGCCCTGTGGTCTGAACTCACAGGGATCTTCCTGAGATTCCTTCCTTTATTCATTTAGTTAGCAACTAAGTGTTGATTCCTTTGTCCCTTCAGCAGCTGCAATCTCCATCACATTAGTGAGAGCCTGCAGTCCTCAAGCACTTCTGTACGCCAGGGGCCAGTCGAAGGATGACAAAACTCTTTCATCTAGGCCACAATTCTGTGAGCTAAGTACAGCTCATTGTGTCCTTTTTGTAGATGAGGAAGCCCAGACACAGAGAGGTTCTCTAACTTAGGGCCCGCGACCAAACAGCTAGGAAGTAGAGTGCCCCGTGTGTTCCACGCTCCAGCGCAGAGCGCCGCTGCAGACACTATGGGAGTGCTGGTGAGACGGGGCCCCCTTTCCCTTCAGGAATTCGAGCAGACTGGCAGGGAGACAGACACGCATTAGGCTGCATGGAGCAGGGTTAGGCAGGCACTGCAGCTGAGAAAAGCGACTACAGGGGAGCACAGTAAAGGGCGCAATTGTTCATCTCTGAGGGAAAGAGCCATGGAGGGTGGTATCCTAGCGTGGGTAGCATCCGAACTGACCCACGAATGACAGGGAATAAAGTCTGGAGGTGTATCAGACATCACTGCATTCAGCTGCTAGCAAGAGAAACCCTGACACCGGTGACGTCGCCAGGTGGGGGCTCATTTGTGTCAGACCAGAAGGGCGTGTGGGACAATGCCTCAGCTGTACCAGTGGGAACCTAGACTCTGCCTTTCTCCTCCGCCATCCTTAGGGTATGGACCATCGGCCCCAGGTCTATGGTCTCATGGTGAGAAGGTGGCTGCTGCATCTCCAGGCCACACATCTGCATTCCAGGAAAGAGAAAGTAGGATGAGTGAGGCACAAAGAGTGTTTACCTGGCGTGGCTTCACTGTTCCCTCTAGGAAGGAACACGTTTCTGAGGGATTTCTGTCCTCAGCTCATTGACCACAGCTTAGCTCATTGCCTCCCAAGCCGACCAGGGAGGGGACATTGATTATTTTTAGTTAGGCACTTTGCTGCTGTGAACAAATAGTGAAGGAGCAGCTGTTGAGTTGGCAGATGAAGTGTGTGCAGCCCAAGATAAGAAGAGAAAGGAAGGTATTCAAAATGAAAACCGCATCGTGGGAGCTGTGTGTATCCTGGGAGGTGGAGAAAGGGCGCGGGGAAGTTGTCAAAGAAATGACATCAGATTCGGGGGCACTGGGGAGCCATGGCAGGTTGCTGAGGAGGGAAGGTGACATGTCATAGCAAGGGGAGACGGACAGCATGCTGCCTTGTGTGAACAAATTGGTTTGGTTCTTACTTGAAATAAAATGAGTTCTGGAAAGTGTCAGACTGGGGCACCAGTTTTCCCTGAGGGCAAAAAGAAGCCAGCATACAATAAGAAAGTGGGGGATGGTGTTCTTTTAGGTCCTGTCAATAAGAATCCAAAATTAACCCGATGTTGGTCCTCTGTTACTAGGGGGTGACTAGCTCTCCTTTTGTAATGAGTGGGACTGAAACCGGTAGAAGGGGGTACCAGTTACTCCCCAAACACTACGCTTGCCTTTCTCCTGACCCTCTGGGCTCCTGGGCCTTACCTGCAACTCCACCACTCATTGGCCGAACCACTTTGGCCATGACCCTTCACCTTTGCTGTAGGTGCAGGGGATGACATCAGAGGCCTTCAGAGGCACTGCCGCGGGTTTCCCACCCTGGATTCCTCCAGCAGGGACCCACATCCCTGATTCCCTGCTCCATTTATCAGCTTTATGGCTTTCCTGAGCTGATACCTCTCTAAACCTCAGTGTCCT